CTCTGTTTGCTGAAAAAACAAACAAACAAACAACAACAACAACAACAAGAACAACAACAAACCTTCCTGGATGAAGGATGAGAGCACACTTATCTGTGGGTAGAAGGATAAGTATTGTATTAAGTATTGCATTAAGAATACTATGGGCTGGAGAGATGGCTCAGAGGTTAAGAGCACTGGCTGTTCTTCCAGGAGCACTGGCTGTTCTTCCAGAGGTCCTGAGTTCAATTCCCAGCACCCACATGGTGGCTCCCAACCATCTGTAATGAGATCTGGCTCCCTCTTCTGGCCTGCAGGGATACATGCAAACAACACTGTATATATAATAAATAAATCTTTAAAAAAAAAAAAAAGAATACTATTAGAAGGTGCTGGAAAGATGGCTCAGTGGTTAAGAGCATTGGCTATTCTTCCAGAGGTCCTGAGTTCAATTCCCAGCAACTACATGGTGGCTCACCACTATCTGTAATGAGATCTGGTGCCCTCTTCTGGCCTTCAGGCATATATGCAGGCAGAACACTGTATACATAATAAATAAATAAATCTTTAAAAAATGTTGTTAGAAATTGTACTGGTTTGGGAAAGTGATGGTACTAAGTTATCTAGGACCCATGGCCTCAACAGCCACAGGTAGACTTATGGTACCAAGTATATAGTCCTTCCTTTTAATTGGGCCTTAATTCTTTTTTTTTTTTTTTTTGGTTTTTCGAGACAGGGTTTCTCTGTGTAGCTTTGCGCCTTTCCTGGAACTCACTTGGTAGCCCAGGCTGGCCTCGAACTCACAGAGATCCACCTGGCTCTGCCTCCCGAGTGCTGGAATTAAAGGCGTGAGCCACCACCGCCCGGCTAATTTTTTTTTTTTTTTTTTTTTTTTTGGAGGGCCTTAATTCTAATCAGGGGGCTATTGGTTACCCCTCAGATATAAGTGCCACTGTTGTACCTTTGGGGATATCTTTTTAAACATGACTTGTTTATTCTCTTATTTTCTGTATATGAGTGTTTTGCTGCATGTATGTATATGTACTGTGTGTTGTGCCTAGTGCCCACAGAAGTCAGAAGTGGGAGTTTGATGCCCCGGAACTGGAATTACAGATTGTTTATTTGCTTGCTTGCTTAGTTTTTCAAAACAGAGTTTCTCTGTGTAGCCCTGGCTGTCTTGGAACTAGCTCTGTAGACCAAGCCTGGAACTCAGAACTCCATCTGACTTTGTCTCAGGAGTGCTGGGACTTGTGGCTACATTGTTATCTTTTTTTTTTTTTTAATTTCTGATTTCTTTTTTTTTTTTTTTAAGATTTATTTATTATGTATACAGTGTTCTGCCTGCATGCCAGAAGAGGGCGCCAGATCTCATTACAGATGGTTGGGAGCCATCATGTGGGTGCTGGGAATTGAACTCAGGACCTCTGGAAGAGCAGCCAGTGCTCTTAACCACTGAGCCATCTCTCCAGCCCTATATTGTTATCTTAATGGCAGGTTAAACTTAAACAGTCTGTGTACACAGTAGGACAGCATACTGAGTACATAGTCTTACAGGATCTCAAGTCATATCATCAACTTGGCTGCAAGGTCTGGCAAAAGTTAAGTCTCGTTGAAGGCAAGAGGGATTTTCAGGAAGCGTTAACACTGAGGCCAATGCAGCGTCTTTGGCTTCATTGCTTTGGATGGCTACGCCTGTCACATGACAATTGTCCATTCATGTGTCCTCTTTTTATTGTTTGTTTGTTTTTCAAGACAGTGTTTTTCTGTGTAGTCCTGGTTGTCCTGGAACTCACTCTGTAGACCAGGCTGGCCTCGAACACACAGAGATCTGCCTGCCTCTGCCTTCCGAATGCTGGGATTTGTGGGCCCTGGCCCCCCACTGTGAGTGGCAGCCGCCTTGCTTGCCGACCTTGACCAGATGTCCTCCCTATTCAGATTCCCTGCCCATTTCCTTCTCACCTAACTTTCTACCGGAGGTTCTTTGTTCCTGTATCCTGCATTTGGTGTAAACAGCTTAGATGCAAGAATGTAGAACATTCAGTAGCAAACTTCTGCCCTCCGGGGATCCGCCATTGTGCTGTAAGCCTGTATTTAAGGTTTCCTCCCTCTTTCAATAAACGGCATTCGGCTGGCATTTGGCATTCAGCCGTGGCGAATGACTCGCTGTCTCTTTTCCCTTATTTTTTAATCCACAGCCCCTCGCTTGGACATGGTGAACGGGTGGTGGTAGCGCGGGCGTTATCCCTACAAATGGAGGTTCCTACCGAGATCCGAGAAAGAAGGGACAAGCTGATGGACACCCGAAAGGTAAGGCTGGCCAGCAATTTAAAGAAAAAAGAAACGATGAGGGTGAATTGAAACGGGTGCAGCTAGCTCACAGTCAGTTGATTGGACTGCTGAAGCAGGAAGGCACCAAAGTTAAGAAAGGGCAAGACAGCTAAAGATTTTAAATAAAAAAGGAAATCTTCCCAATAGAGAAGAGGGAAGAAAATGAAATTTCCCATTAGAAAAGGGAGAAAAAATTTTAATCAAGAAAAAAGGATTTTCCCGGTAAAAAGGGGAAAATTTTTTTTGAAACTAGGCCTAAAGATTAGGGCCCTGTAGAGGAAGGATGAAGGAAAGAGAAAAGCCTCTTCCCAGTGGTAATGGAGGAAGAAAAGTCTCTTTCCAATTATAGAATTTTCAGGATAGCTAAAACTCTGAGCTCTTTCTGCCTGCCAGCACAGAGCGGCAGCATCTGAATTACAAAAAATCAACAGGTGGGCCTCATTGCTGCTGGATGAACAAGCAAGCAAGCCCAGAGCTTACAGTTTTGTTGTCTGTTTGCTTAATTTTTGTTTAAATGTTCATTTTTCCCTCAGTGGGAATAATTCAATATTTAGGATCCCTTCGTGGGAAATGTTTTTGTTTTTTCCCTTATGGGAATAACTCATTATTAGGTAGTCCTTTCATGGGAAGTAAAAGAAAGTTTAAAAGTGAGTATACGTGTCCAGCATGGTGGCGAAGGCATGTGTGAGATAGCTCAGAGCAGCAGGTGGGCAGGTACACGCAGGCGGGAGGCATAGCCACGAGGCTGATGAGGGGAACAGACTTGCGGGCAGGCAAGCGAACAGAGGCCAGGAGAGGGACTAGCACTAAAAGTTTAAATGGGCCTAACTTCTGATAAAAAATGGTTTCAGTCAAGACATAAAATGCTAAGTCAATGCTGTGTGAATAAAAGATGTTTTGTTCTTTTGATTGTCTTAATAAATGTTTGGATGAATGTTTGATTCTCATGGTAGATAAACTAAAGGAACAAGATTCATAATTTTGAACTATATATTAAGTGTGCTCTTGTCTGTTGATCATTACTGAAAATTTGGTTCTGCAATTTAAGTTGCTTTCTAGAAATTCTTGGTTTAATTCTCTAGAAATGTAACACCTAAAATGGATTGGGTTGTTAGCTTATTAAATAATGTTGTTGCTAAGATAAACCCATAAATAATAATCTCTTACTGATAAAGAGGTTACAAAATTATTTTTCCAGTAAATAAAATACAGGTAAATTGTTCCACATTGTTAATAATTGGCTATTTGTGCTAATGTGTTACTTAAAATTTATAAAAAAGGATCCTCTTTTTAAGATTTTATAAAAATATTCTAAAAGAATATTGCCTAAAGTTACCTTTTCAAATCCTATAGAGATTATATTTAATGCTTTTATAATTGACATATGTAAAAAGGACCATGGAAACAAAAGCTGGTGATAGAATTGCTCAATTACTATTGCTTTCATATTTTAAATGCAAAATGGCGCCAATATGTAGAACTAGAGGCTTTGGAGGTACAGGGAAAAGAGATGTTTTGACAAACATTTATCAATAATAAGCAACCTAAAATTAAAAACAAAATTATATGGGATTGAGATTAAAAGATAATTGGATTCTGATGCTGGATATATCTATAATTTCACAAGAATCCTGAGATCCCAATTGGCCCCTTAAAATTTCCACCTCTAACCTACAAGGTATCGACACAGCTCAGACGCCATTACAGAACAGGCTACTCTTAAATTAAAAGGATGAGGAAGGTCATGCAGGAACTTTTCAACCCTTTGTGCTACCTGACATTCCAGTGAACTTGTGGGGACGAGATGTGTTAGACGGCATGGGAGCAGTGCTTACTACACAGCCTGTACAACAGATACTAAAAAGTCAGGGCTACTGCCCAGGCAGAGGCTTAGGAAAAATGTTGCAAGGAGACCCACTCCCTGTGGCAGACAAAAGCTGTGTCACTAGAGGTCCTGGGGATACAAGAGGATTAGGATCTTTTCCATAGGGGTCACTGCACAGCAGCCTTCAATTATACAACTGATAAAAATCACTTGGAAAAGTGATGACCCTGTATGGGTGGAGCAGTGGCCCCTTACTAAAGAAAAATAAGAGGCTGCAAACACATTAGTTAAGGAACAGTTAGATGCTAGTCATGTCATTCCTTCCACTTCAGCTTGGAACTCACCTATATTTGTTATTAAAAAGAAGGCAGGAAAATGGAGGCTATTACAGGATCTTAGAGCTGTAAATAAAACCATGCTTCTCATGGGAGCAACACAACCTGGCTTGCCTGCCCCTGTGGCAATTCCTAAACATTGACATTTAATTGTGGTTGACTTGAGGGATTGTTTCTTCACCATTCCTTTGCATTCCAAGGACAGGCTATAGTAGAACGCTGCCATCATACCATAAAAACATATATTTCTAAAGTAAAAAAGGGGGAGCTAGGGGCTCATCTATCTCTCCTCTCCATATTCTATTCTTTCCCTTGTTTTATATATTTTAAATTTTTTTTTTTTTTTTTTTTTTTTTTTTTTTTTTTTTTTTTTGGTTTTTTCGAGACAGGGTTTCTCTGTGTAGCTTTGCGCCTTTCCTGGAACTCGCTTTGGAGACCAGGCTGGCCTCGAACTCACAGAGATCCGCCTGGCTCTGCCTCCCGAGTGCTGGGATTAAAGGCGTGCGCCACCACCGCCCGGCATATTTTAAATTTTTTATCGGTGGATTCTGCTGGAGTATCTGCTGCAGATAAGCACTGGAGGGCTCCTGTTGCAAATCATCCTCTGGTGCGATGGAAGGATCTTTCTACTGGCACTTGGAGGGGACCCGATCCGGTGTTGGTGTGGGCCCGGGGATCTGTTTGTGTCTTTCCACAGGACAATGAAGTTCCTCTTTGGGTTCCTGAGCGCTGTGTGCGCCCTGTGGCTGCTGCTGAATCCCGACATGGCAGAGACCTATTGGGCCTTTGTGAAAAACTCTCCCCTTCTGATGCCAATGGGGATTGAGAGTCCAATACGGCCAGCCTTGACAAGCATTAACATAAGCCTAGGAACTGTAGCCATATGGTTGGATTCTTCAGAAGGTAATGTATGGTAACTTTTTTCAAAAATGTTGAGAATATGTCACACCTTGGAGATTAAGGATAACCCCGAAGGTCAATGACCTTCATTTGTTAACAGTAGCATGCCAGCTAAGCCTTTTCACATTTTGCAACCCTCTTCAAGCTGGTGTAGTACCCTACTTTTCAGGAGTGGCTCTGTGCAACTTTTATTGGCCTCCTGAAATTCATCTAGCCTTTTTGAAGATACCTTAAAATTTGTGAGCCTAAATGTAGCCATTAATGAGACCATTAGTTCTGCTCCTTGTTTGCTGTTTTTGTTTTTGTTTTCTTTATGGTTCTTAGTTGTTCTTTTGCAGACCTGCCAGCCTAAGTAGTGCTGGGATCAAGAAAAATGGGCCTTGGTGGTTCGTGTTCCTGGAGCTGCTTCCATGCCAGTGGACCATGGCAGTTAGACACAGATGATGCTCACACGCTCCAAAAGAGACTGACATCGCTGTTGCCGTTGTTGCTGTTATAGCAGTGGTGGCCACTGCTACTACTATTTCTGGGATGGCTATTTCATAATTGGGTTCTACAGCTAGCACAATGGAGACCCTGGCAGCAAAAGTAGCTACCACAGTTAGTTAATCTTTTATTGTATTGGGCATGATAAATTTAATTCTACATTTATACATTTAAATTGGCTTTGAAAGTTGTAAAAATTATTAAAACTCAAGTTCCATTTGCTTATGGGATACCACCTTACAAGGACTCCAATTTGCAGTAAGGCTCGTTTAAGAAGGGAATGGCTCAATCGCCTTTAGCCTCCTGGCTATGGGTGGGTTAGGACTTCTGTTGGTCTTTTCTGTGTCGCACAGATTGCAAGCCCAGCGCCACTTTGAGATCTTTGGCAGCAGTCACTCTACAGCTCACGTGGTTGAGTCTGTATGATAATGAGTGTTCAGAGATGGGTAATGCTTGGGGGGGCGGTCATCAACCTAAGACAGAGCACTTGTGTGGCCTGGGCAGGTGTCTCCATGGCGGGTAAGGTGACCTGCTGACGTCCCAAGCAACCCAAGTCAGAAGCTCATTTTTTAGTAAAAAGGGGGGACCTGTGGGCCCTGGCCCCCCACTGTGAGTGACAGCCGCCTTGCTTGCCGACCTTGACCAGATGTCCTCCCTATTCAGATTCCCTGCCAGTTTCCTTCTCACCTAACTGATCAACCGGAGGTTCTTTGTTCCTGTATCCTGCATTTGGTGTAAACAGCTTAGATGCAAAAATGTAGCAAACTTCTGCCCTCCGGGGATCCGCCATTGTGCTGTAAGCCTGTATTTAAGGTTTCCTCCCTCTTTCAATAAACGGCATTCGGCTGGCATTTGGCATTCAGCCGTGGCGAATGACTCGCTGTCTCTTGTCCCTTATTTTTCAATCCACAGCCCCTCGCTTGGACATGGTGAACGGGTGGTGGTAGCGCGGGCGTTATCCCTACAGGGATTAGAGGCATGGGCTACCATCACCTGGCTCATGTGTCCTCTTGCTTAAATTAATTTATTCTCTCCTACCTTTATAATCAGTATCTTTAAAATGTATGTGTGTCACACGCATATTTCTTCAAGGGACATTGGCAGAATTGGGGCTCTTCCTACCAGCTTCATCTCAACATTTTATTGAAAAAAAAAAAAGTCTTAGCTCTATATGTGATATATGGAACTTTTATCCAGGCTAATAAGTACAAATACAAAAAATACAACTATGTATAAATCTTGTAATTTACATTATGTCTTAGGGTTTCTATTGCTGTGAACAGACACCAACCATGACTGTGGCAACTCTTATAAAGGAAAACATTTAATTGAGGTGGCAACTTACAGTTCAGAGGTCCAGTCCATTATCATCATGGCAAGGAAAATGTTGGCATGTGGGCAGATATGGTACTAGCTATATCTTGATCAGAAGTTTACAGGAAGTGGACTGTCACTGGACAGTATCTTGAGCATAGGAAATCTCAAAGCCCACCCCAACAGTGACACATTTCCTCCAATAAAGCCATACCTACTTCAATAAAGCCACGCGTCCTAATAGTGCTACTCCCTATGAGATTATGGGGGCCAATTACACCCAAACTATCGCACATTACGTTGGTAAATTGTCTTGTGCTGCTTGAAGAAGCTGGCGCTGGAAGTGGAGCATACCTCCCTCCCCTATTTCAGAACCAAACAGGTTTGTCTCAAAGTGTCCTCCAAGATCCCCTGTCTGGGGATGGGCTGGGAAGAAAACAGCAAAAACAGCCCAAGAGTCAAAGAACTGTGTCCTTGAGAAAGCCAGAAGGTGAACGTTTCCAACAGAAGTTACCATTGTTCATTCCATGCTATAAAACCGCCTTCAGTGGGCTAGAGAAGCTGGGAGTTCTACCACGGCAAGCTCATTCATTGTGGGAGACCGACTCTGGACAGCTATGTCCTGGACTTTGTCAAGCCTTGACAAGAGGTTCCTGGCCTAATTGCAGGGTATATGACTAGATAAGACCTTCCTGACCTAACTGCAGGAGATGGCGATTAGGTAAACTTTCTGGAGCCTGTCAACTGCAGGGGGCCCGGGATCAAAGCGACCTCGCCCCTGACCCCTCCCTTAGGAATTTTCTCTATCCCTGCTTCCCCTGCTCCCCCTCCCTGCCTGAAGCCCTGCTTATAAGCCTCAACACCCAGTCAATAAACGAGACCTTGACGCGACTCAGACTGACTCTGTCTTCCCTTATTGCGCCTGGTCTCCTTTCTCTCTCGCCCCCATTGATCTTTCAGGAGGTGCCTCCTCGGGTCTCCCCAATAACCTGGCCCGCGGGACGGGTCAATTCATGGAGAGAAAGCTCATTCATGGAGAGAAAGCTCAACCAGGAGCTCCAGCTGACTGCCTCAACTTCCCCAGTTGGCCTGTGCTGTGAGCGCCACATTTGATGCCTCCCTTCAGAACTGTCTTTGTTCTTGCCTTGGATGCTTCCCCTGACGGGCTCCTCGGCTTTGCAGGAGACTCTCTCCAGCCGGCCTCCTTAGCAGGGCTTCCTCAGTCAGTTTCTACTGGGTGTGTGTGAACCCCTAATTGGCTGATGCTTTTCAGCTTTTTCTTTTTTTTCTTTTTTTTTAAATTTGGACGTATCTCCCAAGGGGCTCTGTTCTGTTCAGGACGCTTTCTTTCATGGTCTGCCATTGACCGTCTCAAGGAAACTTACCTATTCAATTTCTGTTGAATGTTTTGAGCACCTGATTTGATGATGTTTTGCTGTCTGTCTATCAGTCTATCTTGTTATTTATTCCTTTACTTTTTGCAGAATGATAACCACAGGCTCTCCGTGACTCAGGGCAACAGCAGGATATCCGAGAAGAATTCCAGTGGGGGTCCCAATGCCACTGGGATGAAGAGGTGTTGGAAAGATGGAGGAGTGGGGTGTTTTTTTGTTTTCTTTTTAATTAATTTTGGGGGAGTTTTTTTGGGGGGCATGTTGCAGGGGTAAGGGGCCAATGTGGAGGGACTGGGCAGTGAGTGGGATTGGAGTGCGTGATGTGAAATTCCCAAAGAATCAATAAAGAATTATGTTTAAAATGACCACGGAATTCAAAGTATTTCAGCAAGGCAAGAAGTTTTACTTATACAGAAGGGTGTGTGTGTAGTCAGCAGGGATGCAGCTGGGTCTTCATGTCTAAAGCCAATAGTTCAGTCATTCACTCTGAGTTGCTAGGGCTGGGCCTCCCATTGTTGTATGATTGGCTAAAGTAGGGCAGTGTTCCTAGGGAGAATATTTTGATTTCAAGAAGTGCTGACCTTGGGGGAGTTTGAATTTCTGCCAACAGGGTTCTTTTGCAGTTTTTTTTTTTTTTTTGGTATTTCGAGACAGGGTTTCTCTGTGTAGCTTTGTGCCTTTCCTGGAACTCGCTTTGGAGACCAGGCTGGCCTTGAACTCACAGAGATCCGCCTGGCTCTGCCTCCCGAGTGCTGGGATTAAAGGCGTGCGCCACCACTGCCCGGCTGCAGTTTTTTTTTTTAATGGAGTTATGTTTCATTTAACCCTTTGATAGGACAGTACATTTTATTTATATTTCTCCCTCTTTTTTTTTTTTTCGAGACAGGGTTTCTCTGTGTAGCTTTGCGCCTTTCCTGGAACTCACTTGGTAGTCCAGGCTGGCCTCGAACTCACAGAGATCCGCCTGGCTCTGCCTCCTGAGTGCTGGGATTAAAGGCGTGCGCCACCACCGTCCGGCATATTTCTCCCTCTTTTACAATACATCTTCCCTCTTTAAATTCTATTAAAAGCCTGACTTTTGTATTCTGAGATGTTGATTATTAACATATTATTTTAATATGATGCATGAATTTTGCCACCTATAGATTATTTCAGTTAATCTCTGCATGAGTGCGCAGCATCCTACTGTAGATGCTAACAGGAGGTCAGGATGGAGGTCATTACCCTTTCATTTCCCAAACCATTATTTCACAAGAGTAGAAAAATGGTCATTTATGCCTTTACTTATTAGTTATTATTATTATTATTTATTTTTACTCATATTTATTATTCCTATTTATTAGTTTCCAGATAACTCATTGGAAAAAAATAAGTTTGTCCCTGAAGGGTCTTTGTAATGGTGCCACCAGTAGCTAGCTATATTATTGGGAATGAAAGTACAACGCTGGCCACGTCACATCTAGGGCTAGTCTACTTTCCCATGCCATTCTACTCAAGGCATCCGGTTGATCTGCTACACCCTTGAGAGTTTCCCTCATGTAATTCACAAATCCTTGTTGGTTGTGGTATATATAATTAATCCAGTCTACTTTTTTTTTTCCGTTTTGTTTTTTCTAGATAGGGTTTGTCTGACTGTCCTGGAACTCCCTACGTAGACCAGGCTGGCCTTGAACTCAGAGATCTGCCTAGGATTAAAGGCATGCACCGCCACTGCCCAGGACAGTCTACATTTTTATTTAGGGTAGGTTACCAAAATAGTACTGACTCAAATCCTGCTGCTATTTTGTTCTGGGTCTTAAATTCACCAGGGGGCCTCCTACTGGCACTGGATGGAATCTAGATAAACACAAAGCTCAGATGACCCTGCTGGAGTCAGACACTTCCCTTATGGCATGGCAATGGAGACTGACCTTGGATAGACTGCTGAAACACAACAGTGAAAAGGATAGATTGTCTTACCACCACCACCACCCCAGACCCCCAAGGAGCCGGTTTCCAGATGCAAGCACATAAGGGCCCTTTTATTCAGATTCATCCTAGGCCACCACACAGCAGATGGAAGGAAATGTGGCAGTGGCCACGAGCCCAGGTGTAGAGTTTTTATAGGGAAAAACCACAAGCCAGGAATTACATGCTTGGGATTGGGTAGAAGGGATATGGGGCAAGGTGATTTTTTGAAACTATTGGTCTAGACTTTGGGCACGAAACCACATTTGAAACCATTGGGCTAGACTTTTTGTCGGGGAACCACAACTGCTGAACACGATTATCTGGACTGCTCAGCAGGATTATCTGGATATCTTCAAGGGCCATAAACTGCAGACAGAATGTCTGCAGGAGGGTACTGCTCTGTATCTGTTCGAGTTGTCATGGCACATTCCTGAGGTCCTTCCTGGAAGTGAGTACAGCAGGTGGTCTGAGATGGTGGCCCTACCCTAAGATGGGGTCTGTATTGCCTTCACAAGATCCCAATTAATGCTTGCCCTGATACCTGCAGGCATCTGCTCTGACAGTGCTCAGGCTGGAGCGGTGTCATCTACCCAGAGGTCTCAAGAACTCCAATTCTTCCCCACCACCCCCACTCACTTTTAAGGCAGGAGGTGTAAATGGTTCCTACACAGGGAGTCAGAAAGTGTGGGTAGGGGGTTTTCTGTCTTGAACAACAGATGCCCCTTGTGGTTCAGGAACAGGAAGGATAAGGACTTACAAGGTGGCGTCCCTTGGGGTTATCTTGTCCTGTAAGAAGCTCATGCATTCCATCCCTGAGACTGAAGCAGGAACAAGGCTCCCCCTGGAGGGGCGTGGCCTCCCGCTGTGCAGGCTTCCCGAATCCCTGCTGTGTGAGCTGCAGGCCTCTTTATTTAATGCACGTTCCAGCCATGGATTTATTTCCTTAGGCCCAGTTTCAACCGCTATAGTTTTTCTGAAGCCTTTATTTCTTTTATTTGTATACTCCTAGCCCTTATGTTCCAGTGACGAAAGGGCCCTGGTCTGAGTCTTTGATTATTAAAAGACAGGGTTACATGGACGGCTCTCCAAGTTTTGTAGAGCATTTTCTTTTACTATTTGAATTTTCTTTTTTCTTTTTTGAGACATGGTCTCTCTACAAAGCCCTGGCTGTCCTGGAACTCACTGTTTAGACCAAGCTGGCCTTGAACTCAGAGATCC